TGAAATAAATAATTAAGAATAATAAAAAAGATAATTAGAAAATTAATATAATTATCTTTCAAAAATTAAGATGTTCATAATCGAAATATTAGCCCAGACCAGCGATTGATCGATCGCTCGAGCTCAAAAGATATCGGATAGAAAAGTCGAACATAGAAGCTTAACTTTGAAATAATCTTATTTTATTTTATTTATAAAAATATATCATTAAGACATGCATGTCCAACATTATTCAGAGATGTGTCATAGCACTTTAGTTAGAAGTGTTTGTGCATCATTGGATATAACTGTATGGTCAACTTTTAGATTAGTGCTATAGCCCCTAAATCCATCTATTACAAATTTGGTCAATTTTTAATACAAGATGGTGGTAGGAGAAAGAGAAAATTTTGTGTATGGTGTCTGGACGCGAGCTATCACGACCGTCGTCTGGACGCAGCTCGCATTCGAACGATGTATGCAAATTTTTTTTTGTCGGACATATGTGGAAAAAAAATATATGTTTTGGATAGTGCTAAGCAAAGTATGAATCTTATGCTGATTAGATTATTATGACATTTCACTACTGTTCAGTAGAAATATTTTTTTTTCATTAAGCTGCAGTGCTCTGCGAAATGGTCATAAAGAATGTTATCACAAAAAGGTGTGTGGTCTAAAGACATGAAGCCAAAATTGGAAAGCTAATCAAGGACACATCAGGGTTTGATAATATAAGAAATTTGAAGCCTGAAAGTATTGAATTTAAGATCCAAAAGTAGTCTCTATTAATTTAGCTTAAAGATCATTAATTGCTTGAAAATTAATTTGAGTTTTTGGATCAAGTTCGGATGGAAATACATGAGCCGAGCTACGTGCTAAAATTTTGTAATGAATTTCTAGGTGGGGTGAGTATACTCACTAATCCTCCACAATGGTCAACAGGAAAGTCCTATGGTTGTATCCTAAGTTCTAGGAGAAAGAAGTTAGATCTCACAAAAAATGAGGTCAACACTGACATGTTGTGGATGCGGTACTATGAAGGCAAGCCTTGACGTCGACTCACCTCATCAAGCCTCCACCTCGACTCCCAACATATTAGTACTGCCTTGAGTCACGACTACCACACCAGCATTTCCATCTGTCGCGATTACCATGCCAACATCATCGCCATACGTGATTACCACGCTGGCATCGCCGGCAGTCGCAACTATCATAAGAGTATTGCCACCTGTCACGACTAACAGATCATCACAACCACCAGCCGTGACTAACACACCAGCACCGTCGCCTGCAGTTGTTATTGATGTTTCATCTAGTTCGAGTAGCACAAGCAGCAGTCATTAGCTCCAGGCTGTGGAAAACACATATGTTTTTTTAGATATTGAAATTATCGTTTTATGTTTTTCTTAAAATTTAATAGAAAGCTAATAATATGTTATTTAAAATTAATAGAAAGCTAATATATAGATATATATATATATATATATACATACATATATATATAGATACATACATATATACATACACACACACATACATATATACATACACACACACATACATATATACATACACACACATATATATATATATATACACACACACATATATATATATATACACACACACATATATATATATATATACACATATACAGATGATAAGATGATAGAGCAATTGCACTCAAGCTAGAAAGAAAACACATCATGGACGCTTGGATAAAAATTCTTCTAAAACTAAAAGCTAAGTAAGAATTTCAAGTATAGCTAGGTAGTAATTGAAAAAATTATAAGATATTTATATAAAATATACAAAATGATTTCTTTTAAAAAAAAAATCACACTGTAAATCAATATCTCTATAAATTAAAACTATAGTTATCTAATATTTTGTCCAAGTAACATACTATTTCTACCTCATTAACATATGCTTTTCTAATTTCTCATAAAAATATTCCTTTCTCCGGAGGATCGCCCATACTGTGCCTAATGAATGTAAGCAAATTGTTACCCAATCAAATCAACCTCTAATCATTATATTTCACCCTCCACAATTCCCTATATAAACCCCTTCCTCCTCCCACAATAAACCCTGACCAAAGCAATGGAGAGCAAATCCGGACTAAAAGACCGCCTCATATACCTTTTCCGGCGGCCTGCGCTGCTCCTCTCCGCCAACTGCGGCGGCTGTCGCTCAAATCGTGCCGCAAAACAGAACAAGATAAATAAGGTGCTAACAGTTACCGGAGATAGAGCCGATCAAAAAGGAAGAACCTGTCCTCCTACTTCTCCCTCCTCTTCTCCTTCCATACTCCATCACCACCATTACTATTACTTCAAAGAAGAGGAAGAAAACAAAACTACAAAACAGAACAAGAAGAAGAAGAAGAAGACGACGAAGACTGGTTCTCCAAGATGCGAGCTTTTTAGCTCTTCTGCAATGGAAAGCGTGGACGACTTCGGATTCTTCAGCAGTAATGAAGAGGGAGAAGAAGCTGGAAAAGATGAGGATATTGAAGCCTTCTTGTCCTCAAGAAGCTTCTCCTCTGATTCCTCCGACTTCTACAAAAAGGCTAAAAAAATGAAGTCTTTTTATCGCCCTAGAAGAAGAGAGAAGAAAAGCAGACGCCTTTGGGTTAATGGAAGAAGGAGAGAGCAGGAGGAGGCCGGATTTGCTGTCACCAAGAAATCTAGCGATCCATATGGCGATTTTCAGAACTCCATGATGGAGATGATAGTAGAAAGACAGATTTTTGGAGCTGGAGAGCTTCAGTGCTTGCTTAACTCTTATCTTACGTTAAACTCTGCTCAGAATCATCCAGTTATTCTGAAAGCATTTGTTGATATCTCTAGAGTTTTATTCGGTTAATTATTGATTATGGTTTCATAATTAAGTTTTGTTTTTTGGCTAATCATTTTGTTGTCTTATTTGTTTCATATGAAATGATATTTCTCCAAGTGTTAATTATATATTGGAAAAATATGGGTGTGGAGTGTTAAAATATATTTGTGAATCATAAATCATGAATTAAAATAGTGGCAATGGTTTTATATTGGGGAACAAAGTTTGAATGTAAATACAAATTTTTGTTTTTTTTTTGTTGCCATAATATTTTATGTTAGGCTTTGTCTTTTAAATTGAGACATGCTCATATATTATGTGACGTGTTTTGGTGTGTGAAACACCCGGTTCATTGGTGCGGCCTCTGGTATAAGTCCCTCGGGTCGGGGAATCGAATCCCGTAGCGCGGGCTCTTCAAATCAGAATCAAACACACCAGATATCTGTGTGTGTGTGCGAAAGACCCGGCTCATTGGTGCGGCATTTGGTATAAGTCCCTCGGGACGGGAGTTCGAATCCCGTGGCGCGGGCTCTTCGAATCGGAATCAAACACACCAAGTTTTCAACCCATATGGGGGAATCGATATTTGGCGCCCACTAGACCAAATATCGATTTCCTTCATATATATATATATATATAATCCTTATGCAACAAATTTTATTTGCAGGCATGAAGTTCAAGCATAATAGTCATTAGAAATAATTGTTTTGAATTTGCAAAATAATTGTTTCCTTTGGGCCAATTTCCCATTAAAAACTTTATTAAAGTTATTTAAAATTATGGAAGATTATATCAATATTATAAATGTTATGTAAATTGATTAAATAGGCTATAAAAAAAATTAACAAGTCATTTTGATCAAATTTTTTTTTTCTATTTTCCCTTAATATAGTTTAACCATAATTAAAACAATAAATATATAATTATTTTATAGCTAAGGGAGTAGTCTTTAATTTCCATATTTTCTTTGATCCAATGCATTTTTTTACAAATAAAATTATATGCAGCATGCTTGATGTAATATTCATATTCATTAAGTCAGATGAATAAAAAAAAAAAATTGAAGAAAGTACAAGAATGCCATGGAATAGCTTAGCAATTTCAGGGCAAGCATGGCAAAGAGGGTTGGAGCTATTCTGGTATTTGCATATTGTGGTCTTGGCATGAACACATGCATACATTAATGACTTGTCTTGAAATTCTAATTGTTTGATGGATATTTTTAAATCATTTTAGCTATATTTTGGGTGATGAATTGGGATTATAAATACCCCTAAAACTTTCGAAGAAAATTTTAACTAGTTTTTCTAAAGTTCTAAGTAGGCATTATTTCTCTAAAGTTGGTTTCTTCCTTCAATGTGTGAGCCATTGAATTACAATTCATTTGCAAGCTAGATTAGGTTTCGTACAATATTTCTTAAAGTGTTATGATTTTTATTTTGAGTTGCGCTCCTCATGAAGTGTTGTTTTTTTTTTTTGGGAGCGAACAAAACCAACACAATACAACTCCACACACAAGTAAAGGATATGTATCATGTGCAACACTAACTCATATGCTAATGCTACAATTCTTAGAAGTGAAAAGATAAAAATTATGTTTGACATTTTAATATGAACTAGCATTAATTTATTATTTATCACTCTAAGAATAATGGTATAGTAGAAGTCCTTAACAAGATATTGATAGAGTAGATTAAGAAACTCTTCAATGGAAACAAAAAAAAAAAAAGAAAGAAATGACATAACAAGTTGTTGGATGATTCATGGGCATATAAGATCATATATAAACCTCAATTTTGTCCACATAATTTCATTATATTTGGAGTTGAAGCTATCTTACCTTTAGAACTAAGGATTTCCCCATTAAGAATTGTCCTTGGCTAACATATTTTAGTGGAAGATAATGCCTAGTTAAGCTAAATTAATGAGCTTTATAATTTAGATAAATGACCCTTGCAAACTTTTTAAAATCTTGAGTTGTGTCGAGGTCATATAGCATAGGCTTATGATAGCTTAAGTCAACTTATAACTTTCAAACTTGAGAATTACCTAAGGTTTTATCATGACTTATTATGAAACACCATAAGATTGATGGAAAATGTGACCACAAATTTGAAAACCTCTTTATTTATAAGAAGATACATAATGGTAGCTCTTACCATTTGAAGAACCTAACAACCTAGTTTTTTTGTAATTCTCATAAGATAATTTGATACAAAAATATTGATGTCACATAGAATCTGGCTTTCCCATAATAGAATTTTATATGACATAGCCCATTTGACAAACCTGAAGACCTAGTATTTATAAGATGTCTTATAAAATCTTATTATGGAAAAGCCAATTCTATGTGACATCACTATTTTTATATCAAATATCTTTTTAATAAAATTAATTTATTTTTCAATGTTAACTTGCATAATATTTGATTTATTATTTTATTTTGTAGAATTTACATATGATTTGTACTCATTGATATATGTTAATGGCCTATTTTAGTCCCAATAAATTGGGTTTAGACCAACAATTTGGATTCTACTTTGTGTTTTAATATTCATTATAGTAAAGTCTCAAAGAAGATAAATAACAAACTTTATATTTGTTCATATCTTTTCCTGACATATCTGTTGTAAGTCTTAATTATTTTGTTCTAGCTGAATATTTTATTTTAAGAATATTTATAAGAAGATTTTGATCTATTGAAAATAAAATCCTTAATGAGAAAAATTATCCTATTTTTATTGCATATTTTTCCTTACGTGGACTCGTAGACTAAGTCTGGAAAATGTAGATCAAATCATCATTTTATATTCTTGCATCCACATATGTTACATTCAGAATGAAACCAACACTTTTGTTCTTCTTATGGCATATCCTTTGTACGGCTACGTATGCAATTCACTTTGTCCCCATGTTTCACTTTTTTTTTTCTAAATTACAAATTAAATTTGGATTTTCTTAATCATGATGAATATCTTATTAGGTAATCTTAAACTTTTATTAATTAAAATTTTAACTGCTCATATTTGCTTTGCCTCTTTACACAATAATTATTTATTTATGTTAAATAACCTTACTATTATGATCTCATGCAATAACTTTTATATGTTGAATTACCTATGAAATTTTGTATTTTACACTTATTATGAACATGTTCTCAACTTAGTCCATATAAACAAGATCTAAGTTACTTTTTCATATGGCTTCAGGGAAAATATCTCTTGTCCTCATAAAAATAATAATTTTTGCTTTAATATTAATTATTGGAATCAATATGGTTATCATAATTTATGTTTCCTTTTTATCCTTGATAAAACATATTATATCTCTCATAACATTTTCTTTAATGCACTTACTCACTTTGCACCAAGTGCATAATTTTCCATTAAGAGTCTTTATTAGCAAGTCTAATAAACGAAGGGTATTTACATTAAGAGTTCATTAAGAGTCTTTTCAAGCTCCGATTCTCTTGTTATGTTTGTAAGAGAACATTTTATTTTCTTTCCATGGGTGACTTTATTTACATTTCATGTCTTGGATTCTCTTCTTGTTCAACTTTCATGTGTTGAATTTATTTATAATATTATTTCTTAACTAGCAACATTTATTTTAATTTATTTCTTTTATGGATAAAGAATTTTCTCCTAAACCCTATGCCATAGATAAATGATCTCTCAAACCATATATTCAATGTTTGGATCATAATATAATATATATTTAACCATTGGTTAGTCACTTGTATCATAATATAAATAGCATGCCATTTTATCTTACCTTCAAAATTTTAAATTATTGGATGATGGATATTTTATCTTTAGTTGGTTTCACAAATAATTACAATGGGTTCACCATTCCATTTTTTCATTGAATATTTGGATCATAAGATGAAAAATATTCTACCATTGTTTGGTTACCTAAATCATAACATGGTGAGCAGATTATCTGGACATACCTTTAGATATTTGAATAATATAATGATTGGTTTTCTATTCTTGATGAGTCAATCAAAATATGACATGATGGGTACATTATTCCATCTTACCATTATTTGGCTTATATGATGAAAGACTTTCTACTCTTGATTATTATAAAATAATAGGAATACCATTTCAGTTATCTTCATATGTTTGAATCATAGTATGATAAATATTCTAACTTTAATGGGTTGTGTCATAGGACAATGAGTACATTATTCCATCTTGCTTTTAGATGTTATGATCATAGGATAATGGATATTCTAATCTTCATTGGTGGTCATAATCATAAAAAAATGTGCATAAAATTTATTCTTATCTTTAGATATAAAACATAGGATGAAAATTTTTTTTCTTTCCTCGTTCGGGCATAATACGAGATATGTGATCATATAATAGGTGTTCAATCATGTTAAAGGACTACTAGAGAGGCCAAATGAGTTTCAGAGAATTAATGCCCAATTGTATTACTCAAAAACCAATTTTGATCATAGTGCAATATAAAAATAATGGTAATTATTATAGAAGTAACAACAGGATTGGAATGTTGGTTTTCTTGGATTTTTTTGCTAAGTTTGGAAATGAAAATTGAGTTATGTCAAGAAAAAAGGGTTTTTCTAAGATGTTTAAATTTAAAACTTATTTCCTTCTTGCTTTTATTATAAATTATTGATCATTTGAATGAGAATAATTTCCATCTTCATTTCTTTTGCTATTCAAGTTGTGAAAGATCTTGATGATCATATTCCTATTGATATTGATAATAAAGTTGATGTAGAGCTTATACATAATAATTAGAAAGATGTTTTAATTAACTTTAAATCTTCTAAAAGTGATTCTAGTTATCTGTTGGCTGATGATACTTTTGCAGGTAATAATATAAATGTTTAAAAGTACGATTATTAAACTGCTCTTAAAATTACTTCATTAAATCTAGCCTAAAGGGGTCTGTTGCATTTTACTATAAGTTAATATAATTTTGGTGAAGATGTGCTGGAATATTTGTACCTCTCAGAGAACAACATTGTATTGAATACAAAACTTCTTGGTCAG